AATGGCAAACCAATGATGTATTAAAGCTAAGAGCTTGGCTTTTGCATTCTTTGCTGCTTTTTCTGTCGTGTCTAATGAATTTTAGGGCTCAAACTATATGACCCATCTTAGCGTTCAAGATACACAGTGCAGCTCCTTGCCAATGTTAAAACACAGTATTAGAGTATAAAACGCAAAGATCTTTCATAGTCAGTTCTTTCAAAAGTTTGAGAGAATTGCTTGGCGGTTTAAGGTTTCATTTAAACAAAAAAGTTGCAGAGAATCATGAAAGATTAGTTCCCCTGTCTTGCTCCACGGTCTTTTCAGTCACAGTCTAAATCTGAGAGATCAAATGGATTTGACTGCTTAGCTTTATTTGGTATGGAGAGTATAGGGCTAATTAATTGGCAGGTGCTTTAAAGCAGGTAATGCTACACCTTTTCATCATTGCAGTCCTAAGTACTGCCCCTGTATGCACCTGAATTATAAAAAGGCTGCTTTAAAGCAAGTGATTTACTGTGGAGGGATTTAAAACTGAAAAAACTAACGCTAAATACAATGATCAGATAAATCACCTCAGACGAGAGCACAGGCGGACCTGCTCTGAAGGCAGTTACAGATAGATGTTATATTATTTTACCTTTCAGATAACAGGAGCCTGTCATGTGGTGGGACCCAAAAATCCACAATAATTGAGATTTCAAAGCACATCTGTGTAAACATTATCACATCAGTGTAAAACATCAACCAATGAGCTTTCTCTTTGAACCAAATCTACTTAATTGCAGTGCTAAATCAAAGAAATAGATCAAAGTTGAATAATCTATATGGCACCTATTTCTCAACTAGCCTGTACACTGATTACTCAAATATACCTAAAACGTTTGAAACACGCATCAAGTACTTTTATTGACATGACTGGCAGGTCAAGATCAAACTGTTCATCACAGCTGCTAAATTGCAGGCCAGGCACTAGGATGGTACAGCTAAACGGAGGAGGTATATTATTCCAAGCCTAAAGATGCTCCAGGACAGATAATGTTGCCGGGTCCAAGCAGTGCTCTCCAAGTCCTACAAACACGAGAGGGCTCTTCTGGTCAGATGGCACCACTGTCCCCAGTACAGAAGGGATTTTTAAAAAAAAAAAAAAAAAAAAATCCTCAGCCATCACACACTGGAAGCCCCTTATGGCTAAATCTTTCCTGTTATATAATGGAAACATTTAGAGTAGAGTGGAATATGTAACGTCGATCTTTTCCGAGTGGAGTCTTTAATGTCTGGGCACTAAACCGGTTATGCTGTTCTATAAAGTACCAGAAAAGAAACAAAAAGATAAGAATTTTTTGGTGTTTGCACTAGTCACATGACAGGAAAAGATAACGCTGAAGATTTTTTTTTGCACCTTCTGAGACTATACCATGGGAAGTTAAATAATTTTGAAGAGCGTTTTTACAAGAGTACATAATTCAACTTAAAGTATACAGTACAATCTAATCGACTCTACATATACTTCCTAGAGACTGCACTTTCAGTGTCGTTGAACAAATAAATACGTGGTCGAGTTTTTATTTCCATAGCAAGTAGTTAGTGCTTCTATAGACAATATAATTTCTGTTTATTTCCTAAGAATAGCATAGTGCTTTAGGCAAAACCCAGTGGCTACAAAGGGAGTGGAGAAAGCAATGGACTGAAATCTTTGATAGATAGTCTATATACATATATATACATATATATGTATGTATATATAGAGAGCGATAGATCTATATATCTATCAGGTTGGTTAAAAAAAAGCTGTTAGCTGTAAAACTTTATGTCCTGAAATTTATGCACCTTTATTAATTTTAGAACTCCCGTACAACAGTGCTGTGCCATCCATAAAATTTTAATGATATAATGAAATATTGGTTAGGAGAATGAAGGGGGGGCTCATGAATAAATGAGAAAAAACACAGGGTAGAACAAAAGCCACCAAGTAGAACATAAAGCGGTATGTCCAGCTGGAGATAGCTGTGTATCAGGGTCAGTTCTGGATTCTTCCCAGAATTGGACATGAAAATGTAGCTGGCCACTTTCAACAAGACAAGCAGAAGTTACAGTGACAGCCTTTCAGAGCACTGAGTAAAATAAGGTGTATTCTTGCGCAGGATTTACTAGGAATAAAATAATGGGATAATTTTCAAGGTTCCCTGTACAGATCAAGTCATAATCCGATGATCTAAAGCCTTTTAATTGCCATACATGCAGATTTTAAAAGCATTCAGAACTTTTTCTTCTGAATTGATAGTTACATGCATGTATGCATGTATATATACACGTATGTATAAATATACCTATTTACAAAACTCAGATGAGGGAAATCTAATGCTGAAAAAATTTCTTTTCCTATGGAAAAGAAGTTCTCCATTTCTTGTACATTCATTGTTGTTTTATTTCTTCAAATAAAGACAGAAATTCATAGGGCTTTGTAAGATTCATTGTTTTGTTGTCCATAATTTTGTGGATATACATGAATAACTTGTGTATGAACAGAATGGGACAGAGAAGATAAGTAGTAAGCACACGTTTACATCCAGTTATATCCAGTGAGAATGGACCTTTTCCACATATATTAACATTCAAATGCCTCACTTGGCAGCTTTTATATTAGTTTTGTAAGTAGAACATTGGATAAAAAAACACCTTGATTTACTTAAATTACATTGTTTCTGAATCTGTTCACATAAGATGTGCAGACAGCTTATGGTTTTTGACTTGCTGCACAAATAAATTGCACTCTTGTTCCTAAGTAAACACCTCACCAGGGAAGTTCTGACTAACATACCCAGGTGTAAGTAGTTACAGATGTGTATTGGATTTTTTGAAGTAAAAAAAAAAAAAAAGAAATAGCCTAAAGGTGTTATTGAAAAATCATTAAAATGTGGCTAACCGATTTCAAGGAAACAGTGTGAACAGGGAGATAGCTCATGGTTCATGTCTACAGTTTCAGTGACTGATGAATGATCCAGCAAACAGGTTTACTTTGGGACACTACATTGACAAAAATGGTTTCTTTTCCAATCAAATGGAAAAACTAAACTATTTTTAAAAGATAATTGTATTGGTGAATGACGTCTCCTAATGAGGCTGCTAGAACTGAAAAAATCCAAGAGCCACATTCTACAAAATTTTCCAGACCGGATGCTCAGTCATGTAACTACAGGAGAAATACTTGAGTTTCAGTCATGCTATGCATCTGAAACTGCTGTTGTCTTGACATCTAGATATTGGACTTTATATTGGCCTTTTATCATTTACTACAGATATATAGCTCAGATTCGGAGATGATTTTTGCTTAGAGAACACACATATAACATAGTTACACATAAAGCAGTAGACATTAAACTGAAAAAATGTTAGTTTTTATCAGATGGGAATAATGAAGTCAAGGGAATTACTTGAGGGATGAATTGGCTTACAGTATTCTAAAATATTGAAAGAAATGCAGTAACTCTCTCATTCACCCCAGATACTTGTCTTTCCAGACATAGCTCTGAGGTCATTCAACCCAGGCCATGCTTACAGCTGTAGGATCTGTCAGATTGTTGGTTGTCAAACATAGCCACAGTTCTCCCTTGACACAATATCATAACCACTGAATGTTTTTTAGAAATTGAAAATGCATGAGAGTGTCTTAAACCTATTAAAATTTCTGTATTTTCTGAAATCTTGTTTGTAATAACATGCAAAGCCATTAAAGATTTGAGAAAAGAAAAAAAAAAAAAAACTGGCAGAGACTTGGGGAGAACGTATTTGTATAAAGAAGAAAAAGACTGAGGCTGCACCTGACCATTGCAAAAAATGCCAGAAGCTGTGCTGTAACTTGTGCAGTTTATAAAGTTTCAAGGTAACGTAGGTGGCAACACAGGTAATACCACAGAGAATGCCCTAACATGAAATTCCTGACAAGGCCTATCACCCATCAGCACCAGGTAAGGACAAAAGCACGTGCTCATCGTTAGCAACTGGTCTTTAATTAGTGCTTGGTTATGCTGAGGAGGCTGCCTGCAGCCAAGAATATTTATCAGAGAGGCTGCTGACATGGCAAATGTCTGTGGCTTCCTCATGAGAAGGCTTCATAACACAAGAGTGTAAAAGAGTAGGAGATACTAGGCTGGGGTCACTTTGAAATGAGCAGCAAATATGCTTGAAATAGTTTGGAGAACCTGAGGTGCAGAGAGAGGTATCGGAGGGAGAGGTCAGATGGACCTGGGGAAGGCAGAAGTTTCCAGCCTACTGGTATTTAGGGAATTAAGTATTTAAATTGGGTCCCAACACAATAATGCAGAACAGGAGCGTTACCTAGGTCAGCCTAAAAATGGTCAAGGACAGCGTTACCCTCTACTGGCAAGTCATTTAGCTCCGTTTCACATTTAACTTTTAAAGACTTTTCCTCAAGGGACTAAGTGCCACCTGTGCACACTTTGCTGCACCGTTCAAAAAATTATGGAATTGTCTGCCAGACTACTTGTCACCTTTCAGTAAATTTTAAAATCAAAGACTTAATATGCCAAATGTTAGTATCACAGGCAACACTGTGTAGCTTCCTTTTATCTGAGACGATCTTCATCAACAACCTGATCTAGTGGAAGGTGCCCCTGCCCGTGGCAGAATCTTTAATGTCCCTTCCGACCCAAACCGTTCTCTTGATTCTATGGTTTTAGTTTCAGCTGTATCCTGGGCATGCACCAAGAGTTTTCAAGGCTTTGGAAGCAGGTTGGGCTAACCAGTAGGTTTAACAGGACGAAGGGAGTCGCAGCAATCTTCAGTCTCGTGAGGGTGGCTCGGACCACCCGATGCTCCGAGTAAAGCAGAACAACGGCGAACAACCTTCCCGCTTCAGCCGCCTCCGGCCTTGAGGGTCACGAGGCGCGCGGGGCGGCGGGCCGGGCCGGGCCGGGCCGCGGGGCGGGGACTGGCGGGGGCCTCCCGCTTCCCCCACCCCTTCCCCGCTTCTCGCGAGGCTTCTGCCGGCAGCGCGGGGGGCTCCGTCCGCCTGTCGCCGGGGCGGAGCGGCGGCCATGGCCGCCCTGCGCGCCCTGCTACGCTGGCGCCGCCGCTTGGGCCCCGCGCCCGGCGCGCAGCCGGCGCGGAGGCTGTGGGGCGGCGGCGGCGGGGCCGGGGCGGCGGGGCTGAGGCGGTGGCGGCGGGAGCTGTGCTGGGCGGCGGTGGGGGGGGCTCTCGCCGGCTACGCGGGGTACCGGCTGTCCGAGCGGCGGCGGGAGCCCTCCCGGGAGCCGGCGGCCGCCGAGCCGGGCGGGGCCCGGGCGCTGCTCCCCATCCCAGTGGCGGCCGCTGCCAAGGAGACGGTAGGTGTGTGGGCGCCGGCCCTTCCCGCCCTCACGGCCCGGCGGCCGCTCGCCTCCTCGCCGCGGCCTCGCTCGGCGGGGCGGCTCGGCGTGCCGGGGGCCCGACCGGGCGCTGCCGGCGGGGAAAGAAGGGTCGCTCCTCGCCCTTTCGCTGTGGAAACGTCTCAGCGAGGCGGCGGCGCTCCCGGGGCTGTGGCGCGGAGCCGGCCCCTGGCCGGGAGGCGGGGCGGGCGGCGCGGGCGGGTGCCCCGGGAGGCGAGGAGGGCAGAGGCCGGAGTTCCTCGCTCGGTCCCCGCCGGCGGAGGGGGACTGTCACCGGCGCGTCGCGGCGGGCGCCGGCCCGCCTCGGCTGCCCCCCAACATGCGAACCGCCTCCGTCCTGCTCCGCTCTCCGTCTCTGCGCCTGTCCCAGCCAAAACTTCCTTTGGTGGAAAATACCGTTTGACAAATGGGACCGCTGCTGACGGTGCACAACCTGCGTTCGTCCCCTTTATGTGTAGGACCGTTATCTTTCTCACGCACGTTTTTCTGAAGAGTGGAAGGTTTACGCGGAGCTTCGTGAGAGGTGGTAGTGTGGCACTTGGTGGGAATAGTTGCGTTTCAGATGGGCTAATTCAGCGCAAACATTGGTTGCCTAGCCGTGGGTAACAAAAAATAGTTGATGTGAACCTGGAAAATGAGGTTTCCTGTCACAGAGAGAAACTCCTGCTCCGTGCCATATGTAACATAGGGCGATGATAGTTTTTTTCCCTTAAAAAAGTAGATATTTTTACAGATGTCAAGAGCTGTGACTAGGCGGTCTGTCAGTATGGTACCTGTTAAGGCTGGAAATCAACGGTGCAAACGGCCTGCTTTCTGTAGCTTGAGTTTGTTACATGTTTGGGAAGAGATTCTGCGTGTTTGCACTGGAGGCCTTGAGCTTAAGTGTGAATGTTGTTTGCTCTTTTCCCCTGAGTTGTTAGTTGAAAAGCAGATTCTGTTGGCAGTATCCTTTGTGGAGGGAAGTTGAGATAGGTATTATTGATTTTCATGTGCATGTTGTCTTGAGTGTGTTACTGTGGCACAGAGGACCAAAGACAAACTCTTTCAACCTTTCATACTGTATTGATGTGCCAGGACTTTACAGTGTTGTACTTAGCTGGTCTTAATGCTGAGTCGTCTTTCAAGGGATATATGGCTGCTGCACCCTTGAAAAGTCAATAAATTTAGTATGATCTGTAATTACGAATTTTTACATACATCACTGTAAAAGCATTGAGATTGCAAAGTCAGAATTAAGGTTATATTAGAATCAATATAAAATAAAAATATGTATAAAATGTATATTCTACGTATACACAGACTATTTTCCGAAGACAAACACCATGCTCCTGTGTGGAAAAGGGCATTCATTAATTTGATTTTCCCATTTGCATAGCAGAACATTTGAAAGATTAACTTGAAGTATGTCCAGTCAGTTTGTGTGGCCAGACTAAATGTGCACACTGACATCTCGGAATACTAGCTTTATGTTGCAATTTTTTATTTTTGAAATTTTATCGTTGATTTCAAAGCATTCAGCATTCCTGAAAAAATATCCTTTCAACTGAAACCCCCTCAGAATTAGGATCGAGTAGCTGTGGAATTTTTGGTTGGAACTACTGGCTTCCTGGGCTATTTTTTATTGTTGACTAGTGTGCTGCAAAAGGGCTTGTATGGCAATGGGGAAAGACCATACTTTGATAGTGGATCTAGACGGTGAACTACCAAGAGTAGTTTGACCATGAGCTCCATCTACAATCTGTACTCCATTTATGACTGCCCTCTAGACCTGTGATGAGCACCAACTTCTTCATTACAAGTTTCTGAAACACCTCCACAGGTGTCTTTTAGGGGAAGAAAAGGATGCAAATACTGTGTTCAAATTGCATTGAATGGTATTCATGGTATTCTGCAATGATATCGCATTGTAGCATCCTTTATTAGAAGGCACAATTAATTTTGCCTGAGTAACAGTAACTTTTTTAGTTTCTAATTTTAAGTGCTGAGCTTACAATCTTAAGTGTTTAACAAACATAGTAACATTTGAAGTAGAAAATTCTGTCATGAAAAGTCATATAAGTGTCAGTGTTATTAGGATCAAGGTTGGAACTCTTGGATCTATTGCAGAGTGTGTTTAGGTAACGGCTGGGAATGATAACCTGCAGTTTCTGTATAGATGAGTTTGATGGAAATGTGATGCACATTTTGCTAGAAGGCTTTTATGATTCTATCACGAACTGACCAACAAAGAATGATGAGGCTCAAGTATCTTGGGATCCTCTCCAGCTGCTTTTGGAAGGTCAAGGAGCAGTCAAAGATGTTTCTCCTTTATTCCTGATGCATTAAGTCTGACACCGTTTGGGGGGCTTTCTAGGTTTGTCCTTCCCTCGCTTCCCTAATTTACTAGCTCCCCATTTCATTTCTGGTCCCAGTCTGCTTTTCATTCCACCAAGGCAAATCATCCAGCATCTTTTTTTTTTCTCCTTCCATCTAATCCAGACTCTTTTTCTTCATCCTAGTATTTCCATTTGCATGCTTCTTCCTTAATCTCCCCTCCTCCAGCAGGGTGCTTTTCCCATTTGCTATTTACTTGGATCATTGGAAGCAAGAAGCAGGTGGTGGTTTTGTTCTCAGTGTCCTGCTGTAGAGACTGGCAGCAGCTGGTAGAAGCAGTTACACCTAATGTTCCTTGCATCATTCCTGGGGCTCTGACCTGGAGTGACCATATAACAGGGTGAAATTTTGGGAGACCTAGCTAAGAAAATGAGTATTTTTGGGCGAGGGTTTGCATATGCTCATAACTTCTTAACAGAGCAACCACTTAAAAAAACAAACAAACAAAAAAAAAAAACCACAAAAAAACCAAACAAACAAACAAAAACCCCCAAAAAACCAACAACAACAACAAAAAAAAAACAAAAAACAAACAAACAAACAAAAAAAAAAACCAAACAGTCGCAACACTGAAGTGAACAGCCTTTGCAAAACCTGAAAACCTCTCCTTTAAAATGTGGAATTGCTAGAGATTCTTCAAAAACTTTAAAACATTCTAATGTGGACAAAACAAAATTACCTCCTCCCATAGTTTTTGATTCCATTCAAAAAATCCTGAAACATTGACAATAGATTATATCGTTTACAGTTAACATGTAGTTTGTAATTGAAAACAGTATCATAATGTAAAGTATTCAGGTATTCAAATCATTCAAGAGTATTCAAGACAGCTATGGCTGTCTCATCCATATTGTTAGAGTTTATGCCTGGCCAGCAGCCCCCACACAGCTGCTCACTCACCCCCCAGCAGTGGGATGGGGGAGAGAATTGGAAGGGTAAAAGTGAGAAAACTTGTGGGTCAAGGTAAAGACAGTTTAACAGGTAAAACAAAAGCCGCATGTGCAAGCAAAGCAAGATAAGGAATTCATTCACCACTTCCCACTGGCAGGCAGGTGCTCAGCCATTGCCAGGACAGCCGGGCTCCATCACACGTAACGGTGACTTTGGAAGACAAACAGCTTAACTCTGAATGTCCCCTCCTCCCCCTTCCTCCTTCTTCCCCAAAGCTCTTATTGCTGAGCACGATACCGTATGGTATGGGATATCCCTTTGGCCAGCTGGAGTCAGATGTCCCAGCTGTGTCTCCCCCCAACTTGTACACCCCCAGCTGACTTGCTGGTGGGACAGTGTGAGAAGCAGAGCAAACCTTGACACTGCCAGCACTGCTCAGGAACAGCTGAAACATCTCTGTGTCGTCAACACTGTTTTGATCACAAATCTAAAACTTAGCACCATGCCAGCTACTGTTAGCTATCCCAGCCAAAACCAGTACACATATCTGGCCTTGAATTCCCACATGTCTGTCATATTTCTTGAGGTGAATTTTTGTAAAAAGGTAGTAAGTGGAATGGCCATGTTACATCTAGGCAGCTCCAGCAGACAGCAGAATAGGTTTCTGATCCCCCTAACTACTAAAAAAGGGCGGTTAACCTAGTTTACATCTTGAGTTTCAAAGAACAACTTCCTTATTGCAGGTCACCTGCTTCCAGATAATGTTCATATGGCCTGTGAAAGTATCTGGAGAGTTGTGCTGGATCCGGTTAGTATCCCTACAGGTTACATTTCTTCAGATTCTATCACGGATTCCAAATAATGCTTGGTAGTAGTGATGGAATATTTAATATAAGCTTATCATATATACCTTGATAACTAGCTGCTTTGTCCTACTGCTATCATCTAGTATTTACTGATGCTCTAGTGTTTATGGAACCAGTACATTTTAAAAGGGCTTTTAGATTCCAGGACTAATGCTGATGATTGCGCAGATGTTGATGGGACACTTTCTCGTTCTTGGTCAGTTCAGAAATGAGGTACGTCATTTCAGGGTAACTGAAAAAAGCTGTGTATGAGTCTCCTAGAGAAACAGAGTGCCAGAATGGTTTGCAGATCTTTCTCCTTGTTCTGTGAAACTCTTGCAGTATGAAACCTGATGAGCTACAGATTTATGAATTTATGTACAAATGAGTTAAGAAGATGCTGTTTGCTAGAAGTCAAACAAGCTATGATATGTGTCACCAGCATGGGGACAGTGGTGTGGCAAACTTTGAACAGGCAAATCTCATGTGGTCAGTACAAAAAAAGTACTTGCTTGACCAAACATATCATTGGAGGTGTTCTGGTAGAGAATAAGATTTGTTACAGAAGCAGCATGAAGCTAAGCTCCCTACCAGATTCCCTTTTCCCAGATGCTTTCTGAGAATAATTCCAGTCCTGATGACCAGGGGTTTATAGTGATTACCTGGAGCGAAATCTTGGATGCTATAATAAAGCAACAGTTTTAATTCCAGGGTTGCTGCCACATAACATTTCAGAACCAAAGTAAAATGCACTAAGAGCTGCTGGTTTTGTGTCTGAAGGTTTTGGTGAGGACTGGGAGAGCCCTACTAACAGACAGCTCCTTTAGAATCTATGAGATGCTTAAGCAG